AGAAGAATAGTTGTATTTATTAAATGTGTGCGGTCTTCAGCCAAAAGCCCGAATAAAATATTAAAGGGTGTAAATGAAAATTCAATATTTGCCGCCAAATAATTTGCAAAACATGATTTTTGTGGAAACGTTTTCATTAAGATTTTTTTTTATTTGAACCTCTTTTCCTTTCCTTGATCCTCCTTAGCAACGGCCATTACAGTCCTTGACAGCGGTCTGTTCTACTGGATTAACAACGTGTCACATGTTCTGAATTGACCAATCAGAACTTTATTTAGCCTCCGTATAGAGAGCCGAACTCCCTCCCTTTCCGGTGGAACTCAATGGGACCCTATTTCGGAAAAATTATGTATTGAAGTCAATAGGCGCGTTCACACCGGAGTACTTTTCCCACAATAGTTAATCAGAACTACGATATATTTGCGTTCACACCAAAAAGCCCCAGGAACTAAAGTAGTTCAAATTAGTTCATCTGACCCGCTTTTCAGTCCCTGCTAGAGAGCAGGGACTGTCGTGGGAGAAAATAGTTCATACGTCTGATTGGCTGTGCGGAATGCAAACCACGCCCGTTTAACTCTGAATTTTATTTTGTAAGCGGCCATTGTATTTGCTCGGTTCGGGCAGTGCACCCGAAGAGATTACTTTTGTGAAAGCAGTTATTATAGCAACACTAAATAAATCATCGGAGCGGTGGAGTGATGAGGATGTGTCAGCGCTTCTGGCGATTTACTCGGAGGACGCGAAGCGCCGCATTCAGAAGCTTCTACTGAATGCAGTTTCCGTGGCTCAGCAAAGTTAGCAGACCTGGCAAAGTCATGTCGGGACGACTACGAAGGTAAAATAAAATACATGCACTGCACTGTTTTAATCTGAACAATACTGGTCTTAGATGTACTTTTATTTGCTCAGTAGATCGAGCTAGCCATGCTAGAACTTGCTATCATAGGTCCAGGCTGGCTAACAACATCTAGCTAGCTAGCTATTCTCAGCCGTGCCCGCTATGAACACGTTTTGACTTGTGAATAAGTGTGCAATGTTCTATAATTTGCTTCACTAACTCATGGCACTAATCGTGTGTTTCAGGCGAGGTGTTTCTCTCTGGATTAGAAACTAGTTTTCCCCTCCGGGATAAAACGATAATATAACGTTAGCAATTAGCATGCTAGCTGGACATAATGCTACCTCTAACAATACATTGTAGTTGCTAAAAGTCATTTGCAACATTCATTCTACATGTTAATGGTAAAAGCTTAAACAGTTGATTACCTGCATGCCACAAAGACTGATGTTCTAATATTTTTGCACATTTAAGTAGAAATGTAATTGAAATTCTATTTATTTTTCCTTTTTTTTATTGATTGTTATAATTGTACTCAGCCATGTTATGTTAGATGTCAATCCACTTACACTGTAACTACTCTGGCCTTGAAAGAAGGTTACACATCTAACTGATGTCCACTAATCCCTATAAAACAAAGTTCAAGCATACATTAAGCACAAAACAATAAATAAGGGCACTTTGATATTTATTTTTTATTTGATATTATTTGATCCTATCTTATCTTGTACTTTACACCTGCATTTTGTACACTGTGATTATATATATGCCACTGTTATTAATACTGACACTTCACTTTGCACTAAGGTGTGTCTGTCTATTGTTATTATATATATATATATATATATATATATATGTTTTGATACTGACACTTTATTTGATATTGAAAATGTTAACTTCTATTTACATGCATACGACACACCTGGGACAGCGTGATGCTGTTATTGATATTGTCTTGAGTGTGCAATAAAAGAGAACCTACATGGCGATTAAACGGAGCCTGTATCTTACATTTTTCATTACATTTCATGTAACTAAGCTTGCTTATTTCTACTCTGACACTTTATCTTTACAGTGACCTGTGTAGCATCCTATACATCACATGTAAGTGATTATTCTGATACCATCATGTTTCATCGGTTATAAACTGGCGAAGCTTTATTTATTGTGGCTTTCAAAAAGATAATTTCATTGTATTTCAAAATGGCGTCCAACACAAGCACTATTTATTTATAGAAAGAGAAATGGTTAAGTTTGTTATTACCAGTGTTGTGAGTTCAATATTAATTATAGTAAGGGAGCATCTTAGGAGTTAGTGTAGTGAGTTTCAGAGCAGTGTAATAATGATTTGACCTAAAACTAAATGTTTTTATGAACATGACATGGGGATTTGCTAACTTTTGATTTCCCCCATTTTACACGACACAAATGGAGGCCACTATGGGCCACAACTAACACGTAGGTTTCTGTAGGGTTCATGGCAGACGGATGCAGTTGTTCTCAGGAGGATATATAATAAAGGTGTGTTAGCTGCTGAGCCTATTTAGTGTGCATACGACACACCTGGCACAGTTTATTCATTTCACACGTAGCGTAGCGCGTGCATGTCGTCGTCCAATCCTTTTGTCAATCCTTCTTAACCGCCTTCGCTTCCGAATCAGCATTGCTATTGCATTTGACTGGTCGACGATCTGTATTTGTGTTTGCTTAAATAACTCAGACGAAGCTCATGTCTGAGGTCGGAAGGTAAACAGACGCCTCATTTACAGCAAGTGGGCGCGGGAGGTTTTTATTCTTCTTTTTCTCTCTGTTTTTTGGCGGATTGGAACTTTAAGGTGCATACCGCCACCTACTGTACTCGCCGTGAAGTTGTTTGCGGCCTGCCAGTAAACCCAAAGCAGAAGAAGAAGAAGTGACGTCAGCGGCTCATTTGCCTAATCCACCCCCAGGAACTCATTTTGGTGTGAACGCGATCTGCTTTAGTTCATCAGAACTAAAAGAGCTCTCATGAACTAAAGTTCTCATGAACTATTGTGGGAAAAGTACTTGGTGTGAACGCGCCTTATGGCGAGAGAAATATTATCTTTCGATCCCATTTGAATTGTGCCAGGAATTACACATATGTTTGTCAATTTAAAAGATAATTTTGCAAGTCAACATTTTTTTGTCGTAAAACTGTGAAGTAACACTTGTTTTTGTGTGAAACCGGTCAATGAACTACATCTCTGGTCTCGCACAACACAAGTCACCAACACCAAGACGGCCGTCACGTTAGCACATTCCACCTCTTTCTTTCAGAATGAGGCGAAAAGTATTAAACGAGGAGAAAATCACTAAAAGTCTGGGCATGTTGAGAGCGTATGTGTATATACACAAAAGGGGAGTTAGTCAGTTCCGTAAGAGCCGAGGTGAGTGTTAAACGAGTGCAATGTGTAATGTTAATGTCAGCTAGCTAACAAGGTACACTCCCCTGTTTTGTTTGAGCAACTCGTTTTCTCATTAAGAACTGCGTGATCACTGTGTATGCTATGGATAACATTAGTGTTGGCAAGGACAAGGTACACAGAAAACTAGTTACTAGTTTAGAAAACATTTTTGATTCTTAAAGGTGGGGTAGGTAAGATTGAGAAACCGGCGCGAGATACACTTTTTGTTATATTCCATGGAATGCTCTTAACATCCAGATAGCAATGAATATCTTAAGTGCTTTGACAAAAAATCCATAGAAAAATGTCATCTGTGGAAGCCGTAATACTGTAAAAAGCACGACCAATCATTTTAGCCGGCCCGGGTAAAATAACTGGATGGCCTACCTGCCTGTCAGCCTTCCATCTGTGCACAAACTTATCTCGTGCCCTCATTGGTCATGTGCACGTTCGTGTGTGTTGGAGGGGCTCTGTAAGGAAGTGGCAGATTTTTTCCGGTTGTGTATTTTCAAATTCTAGCGCACTCGAGCTGGTTTCTCCAAAATTACCTACCCCACCTTTAAGTGGGCCATGAGTTGAAAAAGGTTGGTAACCGCTGTTCTACATACATTAATCATTGGTTCTTCTTTTAGAGTTAACTCAACAGGAACTATCAAAACATCCCAATCAAAGTTTAAAGTCACAACATTTTATTAACCAAACAGATTATTCGAAAAACTACTCTGCAGATTAATGAACAGTGAAACTAAATTCCTTCAATGCAGCTTAAAGAGGCTAACAATGAAACCCTGGACATATAATATTTTATAAAAGGAAAGACATGGCTATAAGAAAGTTAGTTGAAAAACAGCATAGTGAAACAATTCTTTATAGATCAGGAACCGTTACAAACATGAATTAAATCGGGAGAAACAGCATCTCTGTGGTCTTGTGTTGCCATAGTGTGAACGCTGGTTAGAACATAAACAATTGTTAGTCAGACTTCAATTCAGAAAGACTCTTAAAATATAACAATACAGCTCTCAGGACATCAGAGGCCTGTACTACGAAGCCGGATTTTCGCTTAGTGGGCTAACTTCAGGAAAAACTCGGGGTCCTACGACGCTGGTTCTCTTTTTAGCGGGCTAGATCTCCATTGTAACTTATGCTGAGCGGCTAACCTGCTCCGGAGCATAAACCTGTTAATGTACGCATTCAAACACTTTTTCTTTTAGCGGCTGTATTCACCTTGCAGGTGCAGCTATGTGGCTTTTATCCTGGATAAAGTGTTGAAGTCATGGATGTTTAAAGTTTAACTTCTTCATATTTCTAATATTATAGTTGACTTTTCATTCAGGAAGTATGACGCGCTGCCAGTACGCTTGTCCATGTTTGTGATTGGTCGAATGCTCCAAATACCACATTACATTTAATTTAGCTGACGCTTTTATCCAAAGCGACTTACAATTACAGGGACATTCTCCCTGGAGTAACAAAGGACTAAGTGCCTTACCACCCCTTTCATGTGAACGCGCACCTAACTAGATAGGACACGGCTGGCTTGAGCGATCCACTTAATAACCCGCGTCGTAGGACCGTTTAGCGAGAGCGTATTGAACCGGCTTCGTAGTACAGGCCTCAGGAGGAGGACGCTTGAAAAGTTGAACTTTTCTCAACTTTCGAAGCGAGCAACGGAGGCCAATCAATGCGACGGAACCACAATGCAGTTCGGCAAAGCTTGACATCACCCCATTCAAAGTGAATGGGAAGCGTCTCCGTTGAAGCACGCGACGGAACCGTGTGGACGTACCGTAGGACTGGTACTTTGAGAAAGTGTTTTCCCACACTCTTCACACCAGTATGGTTTTTATCCTGTGTGAATACGGTGATGTGTTTGGAGGAAACCTGATGTCTTGAACATTTTCCCACACTCTTCACACCAGTAAGGTTTTTCTCCTGTGTGAATACGTTGATGTGATTTTAGAGTACCTGATTTAGTGAACGTTGTCCCACACTCTTCACAGCTGTATGGTTTTTCTCAAGTGTGAATACGTTGATGTGTTTTGAGAGACTTTGATGCCTTGAATGTTTTCCCACACTCTTCACAGCTGTACGGTTTTTCACCTGTGTGAATACGTTGATGTGATTTGAGTTCACCTTTTGTCTTGAACATTTTCCCGCACTCTTCACACCAGTACGGTGTTTCTCCTGTGTGAATACGGTGATGTGTTTGGAGGGCACTTGATGTACTGAATGTTTTCCCACACTCTTCACAGCTGTACGGTTTTTCACCTGTGTGAATACGTTTATGTGATTTTAGATTACCTAATTCAGTGAACGTTTTCCCACACTCTTCACAGCTGTACGGTTTCTCTCCCGTGTGAATACGTTGATGTGCTTTTAGAGTATCTGATTTAGTGAACGTTTTCCCACACTCTTCACAGCTGTACGGTTTTTCACCTGTGTGAATATATTGATGTGATTTGAGTTCAACTTTTGTCTTGAACATTTTCCCGCACTCTTCACACCAGTACGGTGTTTCTCCTGTGTGAATACGGTGATGTACTTGGAGGGCACCTGATGTCTTGAACATTTTCCCACACTCTTCACACCAGTACGGTGTTTCTCCTGTGTGAATACGGTGATGTACTTGGAGGGCACCTGATGTCTTGAACATTTTCCCACACTCTTCACACCAGTAAGGTGTTTCTCCTGTGTGAATACGGTGATGTCTTTGGAGGGCACCTGATGTCGTGAATGTTTTCAAACACTCTTCACAGCTGTACGGTTTCTCTCCAGTGTGAATACGTTGATGTGTTTTGAGAGACTTGATGCCTTGAATGTTTTCCCACACTCTTCACAGCTGTACGGTTTTTTCACCTGTGTGAATACGTTGATGTGATTTTAGATTACCTAATTTAGTGAACGTTGTCCCACACTCTTCACAGCTGTACGGTTTTTCACCTGTGTGAATAAGTTGATGTGATTTTAGATTACTTGATACATTGAATGTTTTCCCACACTCTTCACAGCTGTACGGTTTTTCACCTGTGTGAATAAGTTGATGTGATTTTAGACTACCTAATTTAGTGAACGTTGTCCCACACTCTTCACAGCTGTACGGTTTTTCACCTGTGTGAATACGTTGATGTGATTTTAGACTACTTGATACATTGAATGTTTTCCCACACTCTTCACAGCTGTACGGTTTTTCACCTGTGTGAATACGTTGATGTGATTTTAGATTACCTAATTTAGTGAACGTTGTCCCACACTCTTCACAGCTGTACGGTTTTTCACCTGTGTGAATAAGTTGATGTGATTTAAGATGACTTGATACATTGAATGTTTTCCCACACTCTTCACAGCTGTACGGTTTTTCACCTGTGTGAATAAATTGATGTGATTTTAGATTACCTAATTTAGTGAACGTTGTCCCACACTCTTCACAGCTGTACGGTTTTTCACCTGTGTGAATACGTTGATGTGATTTTAGATTACTTGATACATTGAATGTTTTCCCACACTCTTCACAGCTGTACGGTTTCTCTCCTGTGTGAATACGTTGATGTGATTTGAGATTATTTGATGCCTTGAATGTTTTCCCACACTCTTCACAGCTGTACGGTTTTTCACCTGTGTGAATAAGTTGATGTGATTTTAGATTACCTAATTTAGTGAACGTTGTCCCACACTCTTCACAGCTGTACGGTTTTTCACCTGTGTGAATACGTTGATGTGATTTTAGATTACCTAATTTAGTGAACGTTTTCCCACACTCTTCACAGCTGTACGGTTTTTCTCCAGTATGAATACGCTGGTGGGTCTTTAAATGTCCAGATGTTGTAAAGGATTTGTCACATTGCTGACAGCTGTGACGTCTCTCTCTTCCTTTCGGTTTCTAAAACAGATGGACAGAGAAAGAGAGAAAGTTAATCTAAATAGCATAAATACATATAAAGTTAACACAATAAAAACTCACTTAAAGGTGGGGTAGGTAAGAATGGAGAAACCAGCTCGAGTGCGCTAGAATTTGAAACTACGCAGCCGAAATAAATCTGCCCCTTCCTTCAGACTTCCTTACAGAGCCCCTCCTCCAACACACACGAACGCGCACATGACCAATGAGGGCACAAGATAAGTTTGTGCACGAGATGGAAGGCTGACAGGCAGGTAGACCATCCAGTTATTTTAGCCGGGCCGGCTAAAATAATTGGTCGTGCTTTTTACAGCGCCACGGCTTCCACAGATGCATTTTTTTAAATGTATTTATTGTCAAAGCATTTAATGTATTCATTGCTATCGAGATGTTAAGAGCATTCCATGGAATATAACAAAAAGTGTTTCTGAAGTAAATTACCTACCCCACCTTTAACACTAGAACCGCCAGGGGTCGCTGTATACCTAAAACCGTAAACGGGTCAAATGTACCCGCTATTAGAACGCATTGATTTACAAAGTACAACGTTCTTTTATTTATCATACTAGAACACAGGGTTAAGAGTGAGTTTTATACCAATAGAATCTGTTGACTCACAGCTTTCATATGAGATCTAGTTTGTGCAGATTGCATGAAAGATCGCTACCATGAGTTTATGTGCAAAGTGTCTCTCTATCTCTCTCTCTATAACTATCTATCGATCTATCTATAACTATCTATCTATCTCTCTCTCTATCTCTCTAGGAACCGCAGTAAACAGGCATTGCTATAGCAACACGTCATGTTTAAGTTTTCGCACGAGATCAACATCGCGAAAATAACTGCATTTTCTATAAGGTAAATATTACCCGCTGGCGCTGATGGGTATAAATGGCAATTTTTTGGGCCTTTTTTTCCAATATGACTTCATATTGACCATTTTTAACAACAGAGGGTGCTACATAACACACTTTCAGGAAAAGTCAAAGACTTGGAGACTTTAATATTTTATTGAAAAAAAGTTACATACAATCAAGAAACAGCTGCGGGTAAAATGTACCCGTTGGCGGTTCTAGTGTTAATACAAACCTTCAGTTAACAAAATACTTTTACTATCTTTTAGTGTTTATTATATTTGATACAGTAATACAGCAACATTCTAACCACAGTATATACCAGAGGTGGGGGACTCGAGTCACATGACTTGACTTGAGTCACATGACTTGACTCGAGTCAGACTCAAGTCGCATATTTTTGGACTTGAGACTTGCTTGACTAACATTGATAAAAGACTCGACTTGACTTTGACTTGGTATTCATGACTTGAGACTGATGACTCGAAAGGATTTAACTTTTTTTGTACGAAGCACCTAAAGGGCAATGGGAAAAAAAGAAGAGAGAGACGAGAAAGTTACCGGTGCGCCAAGGAGGAAGTGGAGCGCACAGGAGACAGCCGTTTCATTGCAGACTGTTATGTTTATGTGGGGAAATGGCAGTGCATACATTATGAGAGATATATTTCGAACTCGGACTTAATTTTAGGGATATTTCGGCCAGGGGTGTAGAGCTATATATAGAGCTAGGAGAGTCTGTGAACCAGTCTGCCTTGATCTATGAATTCATGTCCATGACTCTCACAGTATCTGCTGCCCACAGCTGTTTTATAGATGGAAAACCTCCTTTACTTCATGAAATCTCTGCAGCACCAGGAGGCAGTAAGGTGTAACTCAGCAGAATCTGAGAAGAGCAGCACCAGCTGCAAAGAGCTGTGCCTTTTACCGTTTACTTCACTGTGTTTACCTTCATTAGAACAGCTAAAGAGCGACCGCAGGCTGCTACGTTTTAACCACACACCCATCTGCTTAGGGATGACTTATTAAAAGGTGCGAAAAAGATGGCCGGGCCAGGTACTGGCATCATAATAATAATAATAATAATAGCTTGGATTTATATAGCGCCTTTCAAGGGACCCAAGGTCGCTTTACAAGTAATAGGGCAAAACAAACATAACAAAACAAAAGTCAGACAGACAAAACAACAGATCGATTAGGGGCCGAAAGCCTTGGCAAACAGATGGGACTTGAGGGCCCTTTTGAAGGCGTCAAGTGTGAGGATGTTGCAAATCTCTGCAGGGAGAGCGTTCCAGAGGGTGGGGGCTGCCACACTGAAGGCTCTGTCCCCGAAGGTTCGCAGTTTGGTGCGGGGGGTGGTAAGCAGGCCAGAGTCTGAGGACCGCAGGTTCCGGGGTGGGGCATGTGGGTGAAGGATGTCCGATAGGTACTGGGGGACAAGGGCATGGAGGGACTTGTAGGTAAGGAGGAGGATTTTGTATGCTATGCAGGACTTGACCGGCAACCAGTGGAGGTGGAAGAGGGTGGGAGTGATGTGCTGCCACTGCTTTGTGTGTGTGAGTACCCTAGCAGCACAGTTTTGGACATACTGGAGCCTGTCCTGGGTTTTGTTGGGAACCCCGAACAGGACACCATTGCAGTAGTCCAAGCGGGAGGTGACAAACGCATGCACTAGGGTTTCGGCAACCGACTCCGAGAGCGACGGTCGGAGTCTGGCAATGTTCCTTAGGTGGAAAAAGGCCGATTTGGCCACAGATTTGACGTGGGAATGGAAGGAAAGGGTGGAGTCGAGGATGACACCCAGGTTGCGGGCTTCAGGAAATGGAGCAGCCGTCAACCTCGAGGATGAAGTCACCAACTTTCTGGAGCAGGGCCTTGGGTGCCACAACCATGAGCTCTGTTTTATTGCTGTTTAGCTTAAGGTAGTTGGAAGACATCCATGCTTTGATGTCATGCAGGCAGTTGATGAGAGACTGAGGGGGGAGCTGGGAGGATGGAATGGTGCTGAGATACAGTTGGGTATCATCAGCGTAACAGTGGAAATTGAGTCCATGATGTCGGATGATCTGGCCGAGGCGGAGCATGTAAATGGTGAACAGGAGGGGGTCAAGCACAGAGCCCTGGGGTACACCGTGGTGGACTGGGGCCGGGGGTTCGTTTGAGCCACTGATGGAGACAAACTGTTTCCTGTTATGGAGGTAGGATGTGAACCAGGACAGCGCTGTGCCAGTGACACCTAGGAGGTCTGAGAGGCGGGTGAGGAGGATGTTGTGAGAGATGGTGTCAAACGCTGCAGAGAGGTCCAGGAGGATGAGGATGCTGAGGCGGCCAGAGTCAGCAGCAATGAGGAGATCGTTGGTGATCTTGATGAGGGCGGTCTCAGTGCTGTGTTGCTGTCTGAAGCCGGATTGGAAGGGCTCATAGAGCTCATGGTTGGACATGTACAGATGGAGTTGGCCGGCGACCACTCTTTCCAGAGTTTTGCTTAGGAAGGGAAGGTTGGAGATCGGCCGGTGGTTCTGGAGGTCGTCAGGGTCCAGGCCAGGTTTTTTGAGTATGGGGGTGACTGAGGCCATTTTGAAGCTGGTGGGGACTATACCAGGAGCCAGAGAAGCGTTGATGATGACCACCATGTAGGGACAGAGGGTGGGTAGGCAGTCCTTGACCAGGGCTGTGGGCATGGGTTCCAGGGAGCAGAGGTCTTGGCCGAGCTGACCAGTTTGGCCACTTGGAGAGCATCCACAGGGGAGAAGGAGGAGAGGTTGGAGAGGGAGAGGCGCGGTGCTTGGGGTGCGTTACCAGGTGGCTGAGGTGCAGGTAGGGGGGAGGGCCAGTCGCCAGGAGCTGCTGATGGATGGCCTCGACTTTCTCCTGGAAGAAGTCGAGGAATTTGGAGCACAGATCGGGAGCCCCTGAGGTGCTGAGGGGCGTCAGGGGGTCGGAGTAGGCGGTTGATGGTGGAGAACAGTGTTCTGGGGTTGCTTTGCTGGGCACCGATGAGACGGGAGTAGTAGTGAGTCTTGGCGTGGGGGAGAGCTTCCTTACACGTTTTGACATGGTCACGAAAGGCCAGGAGGTGGACCGTGAGGCCAGTTTTTTTGGAGAGCCTCTCCAGCTGGCGACCAGAGGCCTTCAAACGGCGGAGTTCGGTGGTGAACCAGGGGGCAGGGCGGGTGAAGGAAACAGTCCGGGTTTTAATGGGGGCGAGAGAGTTGAGACTGAGGGATAGGGCAGTGTTGTAGTGGGCTACCAGGCCGTCCACGGTGGAGTCGGAGGGACCCGAGGCCATGTGGGTAGCCATGTTTTTCTTCTCACTCTAGGGGGGTTATGGTGTTGCTTCACAAGTCTGTTTTGTTCCGAGTGAACAATATTCTATCTTATACAGCTGGAAGATATTTGGTGATACAAGGCACTATGTTAAAAGAAATCATCACCTTGGTAAATGTCTATGGCCCCAATGACGACAGTCTCGCTTTTTTTGAGAATCAATTGCATCCTTCCCAGGCAAAGTAATGATGGCAGGTGATTTCAACTGCACTCTATCCCAAAACGTGATCGTTCATCTGTGTTGAAATTAGAAATGAACAGTGGGGAATAACTACAGATCTGTTGGAAATGGATTGATTGATAAGTCAATCAATCAATCAATCAATGTTTATTTATATAGCCCAATATCACAAATGTTACATTTGTCTCAGTGGACTTCACAGTTTGTACAGAATATCAGTATGACAATACGACACCCTCTGTCCTTACGTTTCACATCGTACAAGGAAAAACTTCCGGATAAAACCCACAGTTTAAAGGGAAACATGGGAGAAACCTCAGGGAGAGCAACAGAGGAGGGATCCCTCTCCCAGGACGGACAGATGTGCAATAGATGCCGTGTGGATTCCATAATGTAAGGAGGGTTACATTTTGTGAAGGAACCCAGGACAAGGCCATTTTGTCACTCGATGCAGGAAAGGCTTTTGACAGAGTCGAATGGCCCTATCTGCTAGAAGTGCTTAAGCGTTTTGGTCTTGATGACTACTTTCTTAAATGGATTTTTGTTGATTCGTCTGCAGTAGTATTAACCAATAATTGTATTTCACAGTTAAGT